GGCGCCGCCAGTCAAAGCGAAAACAGCAGGTCGATGAGGACCACCCAGTCGCCGATCTCTTCAGTTCTATTGATGGAGGTGGCGGCTCGTGGCCGGGGCCGTTGTCTTCCTCAGAACATGGTCATCAGCCTGTGAGTTTGTGTGTGTTACTGTGTGTGCAAGTGGGCAGCATGTGTTTTGTGTGTGTGTGCAGCGTGGGTTGTTTTTGAAGTGTGTGTGAGTGGGTGAGAGATAATCATATTAACAGTGCCAGCGATTTATAGCATTTTTTTGAAGTAAAAGATGAAATATGGCCATGTTTTAAAAAAATGATGAAATATGACCATTTTACTATGGAAAATGACAACTTTACCCTTGTTATACCTTTTATTAGAACTTGTCATATTTTTAGTCCTAGTTCTTTACTTATCTCTTGAACCTTTTGTTCAATTTTATATATATTGTTATTTGGTTTTATGATTACTTCAGTACAAGTATCTATTTTTGAAGAACTTGCTTTGTTTTCTTCAGTATTCTGTTTAGGAATAACGTATTCTATTTTAGGTCTAACAAAAGATGAAGTTCTATGTACTTGAAAGGACCTTCTAGGTGCTTCTAGTTGTAATATTGGTGAAAATTATTCATCCTATTTCAATTTTATCATGAGGTTTGAATGACAAACTGTGATGGCTGTTAGTCAATGCACATGTTACTGAAAATGGATGATTTCCAGTTTTCATTATTTTTCTTTTCATGTTCCAACACAAAGTGATGGAATCATCTAAATTATTGTCTAATAAAGACATTCCAACTTGGTAGTTTAAGTTAAACTTTATTTTACCAAATTTTAAATTTCCACTCCCTTCTGCTATTAGAGCATCAGAATAATTAATCATTCTATTATCAATTAATCTTATTGTAATGGGAGAATTTATTCCTAAACTATAAGTTGATTTAAGAATCATTTGTATAGTAGAAACATGTAAGTAAGAGATTTTATTCCTAGCTTTTGTTTTTATATCTTTCAATGTAGAAAGAATTTGTTCTTTACAGATAACAGGAATAACTACATTTCCTTCTGTTTGATCTGTATCTATTGCTTCTTCTCCAGAAATGATTCCAAAGAATATTTCATTCTTTCTAGAAATTAAGGTATTTAATTTCTTTATCAATCCTTCATTTCTGAAGTTATGATTTTTTTTAAGTCATGATCTGCTATTCCTAATTTATTGCATCTATCAAGGCTTCAATTAAATAGCCTGATTTTTCGTGCTTTGCGTAGTAATCTAAAAGATTATTTTCTTTATCCATTAATCTAATATTTTAGTATTTTTGCCTGATACCACGCTCTGATACCATTTTCGTTTTACTTTTTGATTTCCGTTTTACTTTTTTGCTGCTGCTTTTAACTTCGGGTTTATGACTAATTTTGCGGTGATTCCTAGATATCAAACCTTAGTTTTTTAAATTTTTTTCTTTATATTTTTCAGATAATTAACTTGTCCTTCTAT